GGGGGGGAATGCTTAAGGCGAAATTCTAAAATCAGTTTAGGGAAGAGGATCGTTAGAGTATTTTGTAAATATTTCCAAGAATGCCTGACATGCGACTCGTTGAATGTGCCAAATTCTAACCTTCTTTTTAATTGTTGCCCACCTTCCACATTCCACAGCTTAGATTCCAGGAAACTCTCTGCGAGTGTACTCTAGCTTCAGCCATATTAAAATACATTTATATCAAAGCATTTTTGGCTTGCACTCATTACTCATTCGGCTGCTGCTTTTTGTTTGCCTCTTTACATAAGTCCCACAAAATATAAGGAAAATGAAAACGAAATGAAAATAAAATCTGCACACTCTGCGGAAAGAAAACACCACAGACCAAAGAGTAGCAAAAAACAATCAAAAATACAAACATTATAAATACAAAAACAAAGCTTGAATGCACCTGTGTGGCGACACCACTACCTGGTTGTGGCTTCTTGGATTTGCCGGGGGGTTGGGTGTAGCAGCGGGCAGCGGGTCTCTGCAACCTTCTGGTAAACGCGAACGCTCAGTGAAGGTTGCCCCAGAATAGCTACAACCATCGGCAATCTCTGCCTCGCCCCGCTCTGTGCTCGGACACCACACAGTTCTTGTTCTTTTTTTGGGGCAAAATCAAATTCAACCAATTTGTAATGGCCCGGAATTGAAGGAAAAGGCAAATGTCTTCATATGCTTCATGCTAAGGCTTCCTTCCACTTCGTTCTGTGTGTCTCTTTTTTATGGGCCACAGCCAATGAACCAGATAGACATCCTGCCGTGGCCCACACACACGAACGCCCTAACCATTCGACAAAGGGTTTCGACAAGTGTTGGGGCTGGGAGATGCCCTGTAACATAATTTAGAATAAATAAAAGGAACATCTCTATGTAAATATATCTTTCAACAATCATTTTACATATTCAAATGATGTGTGCCAAACTTTTTGTAATATTTCCTCGTTCGTTCCACTGTTGCACATACCCTCAAAGCCCACATCTACAGGGTATGCCACAGTGGGGGTAAGAGCCAAAATGTGATTTAATTTATTATTACAAACGTTAAAGGAGTCGTCCCTGGACAGGGTCCAGACAAAGTTCGAATCTCTGGCAGGGCTGGGGGGGGGTCGAAAAGCGATTTACGGCAGCGCATCAATACAACGTACAGCAGAAGGACGCGGGGACTGGCAAATGAGTTCCATTTATATCATTGGTCATTACGGAAATTATGCGACGCCGAAGCAGCGCCCTGGAGTAGATACACTGGGCACGGAAGCGGTATAAAACGATAAAGATACATTGCAAACGGAAGTCGAAGTATGAAAATCGCCTCAGGGACGACGACGACGACGACGACAACTGCATGGCAAAGGATATACTCGTACGGGCATGAATGACACTGGACATGAAGACGCGTCCCAGCCTGCTGCCCACTGACACGGATTGGGGGGTGAAAGTCGTAAAAAACAGCAGAACAGAGCAGACCCAGAGCCCATCAATAAAAAAAAAACGCAAGACAATGGCCCGTGCTGTGAGGGGGAACTTACTCGTAATCCAAAGCAAGAACGAAGGAAGCTTTAGACTCTCACAAGATGCCAGCCCAGAGATTAGCGCTGGGAATAAGTCAGTGGAAAAAGGAAGTGACGCGATCTCAATGTATGAGATACAGTTTTTGGTCGCTTATCAGCTGTACATGAAAACTTAAAGAAAACATGCATTAGGAATTCCAAGAGATATAACATTTAGGGGTATGAAAGTAATCTTTCTCTGAAAATATGAACATATGTAAGCCTCTCATCTTTAACGAACTATTCCTCATCGCCGAAGAGCGACAAATGGAAACAATTGAAATGTACTGTGCCTGAGTCAAAAATTCGATTTTAGGCCTCAATTATTAATACAAATTCCAAAACGATTAGGTGACTGTTTGCACTTTTTAAATTCTTACACAAAATCTGCAGGGCGGATATCCATTAAACAAATTGAGTTTGATAGAAAATTGTAACATCTTTCATCTGTATGATTCATTTTAAGGTTTCTTCATCTTTGACAATTTTTTAAAATATATATTTTGTATGATATGATTATTTTATGAGACATGAACTCTTAAGTGGCATCTATTTTTAACTAAATGAGCTGCAAATCATTTCAATTGTTCCAAGAATGCCAAAGGTACGCATTTTTTAGGGATGCACCAAGAACAACCCGCTTCAAATCTTCCTTCAAAGAGATTCCCTCCCTGTACTGCCGAGTTCCACAGCTCGTTTTCTACTTAGATTTATTATAAAAAGTGATGTACAAACGAGCTGCTATAGAAGTTACAGTTTACTACAATTCATGGCGAAAGTTCAGCCACCCAAACTATCCTTTCACATCCTTCAATGATTGATAAGCTTTTGGCCGAGAAACTTTTTGGCACTTGTCCTTTGACGCGATAAATTCCCTTTTTTCAGCGCTGCCAAAATGAGATTTACGAGCATTTTTTGGAACAACTTTTAGCCAGAAGCAGAGCTGAGAGGCTGACACTGAGACTGCGACTGAGACTGAACAAAGCAGCGGCTAATGAGCCTTTGAAGGACCGCCGAACAGAGGCATTGGAAATCTTCATTAAGCTAATGAGTGGACTACCCACAGGAATGATGGTGCAAATATTTTGAATGGCAACTTATGTGTTAACGATTTAAGGTTAAAGTCAGCTGGGAAAAATGGAAACAGAACACACCCCCCCACCCTCTCTGTCAATGTCAGCGCTACGTGTGTGGCATAGCAAAGCAAAACGAGAGAGAGAGAGAGCCACGCGATAGACACGGAAACAGAGTAGAAGCAGTGGAAGCCACCCAATCATCCGGCCATCCATGCGATTACATGTGTGAACTATCGATTGAATTAAGAAGAAAAAGGAAAAGGAAAAGGGTCTGAGGCAGGGGACAGCCACTTAAGCGTGTCGCTTGACTGTCGTCGTCCGTGGCTCGTTGCTGCTGCTGGCTGGCTGGCTGGCTGGCTGGCTCATCCACTTGAGGAACGTAATAAAAAACGCACAAACACCCCCACACACCAGCCCCTTTCCAATCCATTCCCATAGCCGCAGCTCATCAAAGCCGTCACACGTCGCAGTGCAGGCATAAAAAGAGTGCCCCGAGTACGCAGCATAATCAAACTCAAACGGTGTTCGGACCATAATAATGTTGACAATCATCCCAGTTGGCAGTTGCCTGCCCCTAAGCACTGATTATGCCCGAGATGAACTTATCCCCATGGTCATGACAATTCACCGATTGTCAGTGTCGTGTCTATAAATTTCGAAGAGACCCGCCCACAGCCATCCACACTTGACATCCACTTACTAGTGTCTGCCTGGCCTGCCCGGCGGCTGCGGCTGGAGGGAGACTTTGCATCAGATATTCATAATTATTGTTTAAACTGCACTTGAAAGCCAAAGAAAAGCCCCAAAATGTCGCAGAGCTTAAGGTTGAAATATATTGAAATGGAAAGAATATTGTGTACCTTCCATATGGGTTGAATCGGGGATTCATATTTATTTAAATGGCGTTTAGCAGTGGTCTTCCATTCTCTTTTTGTTTTAACTTCTTGCATGTGCCGATTGCATGACCGAAAACCCAAAAGAAATCCGACACTTCCTGCTGGCTTAAATAATAATAAAGAAGAAAATGCAAAGAGCTCGGCATAAATAACCAAAATCGACAAAAATTGTTGCGCAACTGTTGGCCGATCGGGTTGTGGCCGCCATCGCCGAGGGCAGGAAATTCATATATTCAAAATAATAAATAAATTCAAGAGCCAGAGCCCAAAAAAAACCGAGCCCGATCTCGAGACGGAGCCAAATCTGAAATGCAATCAAAACAAACAAACTTGAAAAACTAAAAACTTTTATTAATGAAAAGTTACAAGGTCCAAACATTGATTCGCAGCCACAACCAAGTGGTCCAGAGCCGATCTGGAATTACCGAATTACGCCTTGGCCTGCGACTCCGACTCCGACTCCGAGTTGGATTGGTGTCTCGGTGGTCTCGGTCCCCTCTTTGGGGAACGCTTCTGATGTTGCTTTTGATCTTCATGTTGATGATTGTAATTTGATGCTGCAGCTCCAGCTCCAACGGCATCGCCATCGTCATCCACATCATCGGCATCGCCTCCTTCTGCTCCTGCATGCGCCGTTACGCGACTCGTGTTTGTTGATAGTACTTTTGGGGGCACTCAGCTGGGGACTGCTTACTGCTGACACTATCGGAGTCTGCAGTTTATTCATTGTTTATTGTTGATTCTGGTCTGCTTTATCAATGCCGACAGACCACACAAAGTATGCAATTCTATGAAACTGAGGGGGAGATCTAGAGATCGCCCTCCCTAAGGTTGCAAGTTGAGATTAAGAGCCAAAGGATGATTCAACTGTTGGAGAAATGAAGATCTGCAATTGCAGCTACAGACATCTTAAGGACCCAGAAAGATGATTATTAATGGGTTAAAACTTTTTTTGACTGTTCTTAAAGGTAAAGATTAAACGCGGGCACCTGCTGTTTCCTGCATTTAGAAATTAATAAGATTCCACCTGACTTGAAATTAGTTTTAAATCGAATGAAAAGTGAAGAAAAACACTCCTGGAATTTAAAATATTGGATGACGAACTGAGGTTAAATATTTGTATATTCATAAGAGTAACTTTCTTCGTTGTTTTCATCGTGTTATCCAGTTCTTGGTATACCTTATGTAAAAAGCTTCCTTTGTTACCAGTACCTCGGGTGAATTGTACTTACACAGGGATATGCACATTTTTCGGAGTTTACCAAAAAAAATATGATTTATGACTGAGTCTCCTTCAGGCTTCAAGTTACCTTAAGATTCGATGCGAACACTTCTTAAGTTTGAATTTTCCAATGAGTAAACTTTAAGAAGTCTAGAAGGATCTGCGACATCTTCCATTTGGCAAATCTGTTTATGGGGTTTGTTGTTGTAACGCAGAAAAAGATACACTTTGATTTGTTATTTTAAATTAGATTTATTACTAACTTGATTTATGCACACTTATCAGATACTCACAATGTTTCGTTAATTTTAATTAATTTATAATTTCTTGCATTACTCGCAAGTATTCTTCTGTGTCCAGAAGTCCGTGACACTCGAGAGACACTCGGAATGTGTGCCCAAAAAAGAATCTTAAATGTACAGAATTGGCGTTGTATCTTTGTATCTTTTGCATGTTATTTAAATCGGTGTGTGGGTGTGTATATACATTATTGTTTGCAATTATTGTATTACATTATACATATAGGACTTGTTTGTTCAGTTTTAGTTTAGTTTTGATTTGCTTTGTTTGGCTTTTCAATTTTACAGCTTGGTATTTTGGTATTTTATCAGTACAAGTACTTGAAGTATTTTAAACGTAATACAACCTTTAGTTTAGTATGTTTTGTGGTGGAACTAAGCAGTACAACAAAAAGAACCAAAAACAATAGAAAACAAATCCTCTAAGATCAACATTACAGCTACCTTTTTTCAGTGATTACTTTTCAGTTATGATATCTATATACGCTTCTGCTCGCTCTTAATACTAGGGAAGGGAAACTAAAACTAGAACTAATCAACAAATAAGCGTGTGTTACTAACTCGTAATTTGTAATTTGTAATTTGTAATTTTTTAATCGTAATACAATGTAGCGATCGATCCGGTAATCAGAAGCTGCAAAATGATTCTCCTTCTCTTTTCTTTTCCTTTTCCGATTTTGATTTGATTTTGCTTTTCATTTTGGGTTTCCTCTATACAATGTTTGTTCTTTATACAAATGTGTTTTTTAATCAATTTTTGCCTTTAGTCTCAGGCTGATAATCAGCAAAAGTTCCCTCCAAACATGATCCACTCTCTCTCTCTCTCTTTTCCTATTTATAACTATAGCTTTAAAATATCTCAAACTGAATTCTAAACGGAATTTATTGTCACAATCCTAAAAAAAAGAGAGACTTGGAATAGTTCTTTGTTGGCGGGAAACACTCCCTGGGGTGGGGGGAAAATACCTTTTGGAACACCTTTTTCTTGGAGTGGTTTCAGCCACTCAGTTAGCCAGTTGCTGGGCGGCCCACTGGTTGCCGCGTTGCTGATGCGAGGCTGTTGCGGAGGATGTGGTGGCTGCCGCCAGTTGGCGTCATAGGTAGAACTCCGGTGAGCTCTGGCTGTCGCCAGCTCCAGCTGGACCCCCGCCTCCGGCGGCACCAATCCTCTGGAGACGTTGCATGAGGGCGTCCCGCTCCTGGCATACGCGCGAGTACTCATGCTTGAGGCGGTGCAGGTCCTGGTTGAGCTGGCGATTGGCCTTCTCCAGTTCGTGTCGTTGGTGCAGGCGCTTGGAGCGGCAGTTCTGGGCGTAGCCGCGGTTCTTCAGGGTTCGCCGCTTCTGCTTCAGGCGCACCACCTCCTCGCGAGGGCAGCCGTGAAGCCGCTTGTTCAGCTCCCGCACTGTGAGCGTGGTCAGCATGTCGTCATTGATGCAGTCCTCCAGCGTGGCGTTGCTGTACGCTCCCGAGCAGGTGTGAGGTGACATGTTGGTCGAGGATCTCGTCGAGCTGGCCGACATGGGGCGGCAGGGCTGAAGGGCCGCTCGGGTGAGCACGCAACCTCCGCCCACGCTGCTGCTGCCGCTGCTGATGTTGGAGCCCGGCACCTGGGGCAGGCAGTTGGGCGTGACCGAGCCGGAGGCTGCCCCATACGATGCCGTGTGGGAGTGGGCGTGCGGGCTCGAGTGCATGTTGATGGGAGCCAGGTCGAGGTTGTGGAAGTGATGATGCGGATACTTGGCCTGCTGAAGCACAACCTGGTGCGGGTGCGGATGCGGGTGCGCGTGGGGATGGCCGTGCGGATATGGATGCGGATGGGTGTGGGGATGGTGTTGGCTCTGCATCAGCGGCTGTCCATGATGATGATGGTGAGCGGCGGCAGCCGCCTGCAGGGCATAGTCCCGCTGGCGATCCCACTCCTCGGCCTCCTCCTGGGAACCGGGATAGGGCAGCGGCCGCAGATCGAGGGGCTGCTGGTCGGCACGTATGGAGTTGGTCAGCCACATCATTTCGTGGCTCAGTCCGGCACTGACCACGGGCGCAGCTTCCTTCCTACAGCTACTGCTGCCCGTCGGCGAACCCACAACCGGCGGAGTCTCCGGCGGGGTGGAGGGAACGCCGCCTGGCACTCCGGCTGCCGACGAGGAGGATGTGTTGACCAGTATGGCCTGGCCGGGCATCGGGCCGTACTGCTCCGGCGGTGGCGAGAGTGGCTGCAGCCGGCGCTCATCTATGTGCCACTGGTGGCCCGAGAAGGAGCGAAGCTTGATGTGGGGCGACGGTGACACCTCCTCGACGGCTACGGCTGCCTCTGGTGCAGCCAGTGCCAGCGGCTCCGGCACCACCTCCTCGGCAACCGGTGGCTCACCATGCACAGTGGTCCACTTCACAGCCACCGGCTGTGGCGGACTATGATCCTCCCGCTTCACATGCCCAATGGCGGCGGTCGCTGTCGCGCTGGCATTTGCGCTGCTGCCGGCAACCGGCACCTCCAAATGGTGCAGATCGAACTCCTGCACGTACGTGTCGGCTATTGTGGGATCTTCCATTTTCATTGGATCGATCGCGACCGGCCGGTCTCACATGCGAGGGTTGGGTCGGGGCAGGGTCAACTAGGACAACTATTCGGGGGCTAACCGGAGGGGCAACTCGCACTTGGCACTCGAATGGCTGGCACTCTCCGAAGTTTTTTCGTTAATCTATCTTCTTCTTATTCTTCTTCCTTCCTTCGATCACTTTTGGTCACTAACTATCTCTTTTTGGCATTATCTGTGTGCCTGCTCTCTCTCTCTCTTTTGTGTTGCTCACTTTGGAATATATGATATTTTCGCGAGCGCGTGTTCTGCCGCTCACTACGTCCAGTTTCAAAGAGTTAACGGTAGCGAATGAATCTGACTGCGGCTCTGGCTGATGACTGAAGGGTGGCTGGGATGGCCTGGAATGGCCGCGACGCGCGCAGCGCCTTAATTTTATATACATGTACGAGTGTACGGTGTACGGTGTGTAAGTAACGGCAAAAGCTAAAGACACGACATGCAAAAAACAGAACCGAATGCGACGACCACGACAACAACAGCTACATCGGCATCGGGCATCGGCAGCTTGAACGCCATTCGCTGGCTGCTGGCACGTTTGACTCCTGCTGGAACTGGAATTGGAAAATGGAGAAAAGCTTGCACTGCCGCCGCCGCCACCGCACACTTGTCGGCAACAACAACAACAACGACAACAGCAGCAACAATCCACGAGAGAGCCCAAGCCAGAAAAGCCAACTGAGAGCTCCGAAGCTCGATGCACTGCACAGTGGGATCAGAAGCTAAGAAAACTGCTTGCCGAAGTATGTACACAAATTGAGTCCATGGGAAACTAATCGACAGTTACTAACCATATGCATTAGTATAACATGACAGTTAAAATAATACGAATAGAAAACAATCAACTTGGTGTAGAAGTAATAAAAAACATATAACCATACGTGTCACGCCTTTGTCATTAGGTTCGCTAGCCACTCGTGGGGACGAAAACTTCGACCACTGTGCAGGAGCAGAAAGTTTTGCTTGCCCTCTATCGCTCATTTCGCTTTGGTTTCGTTTCGTCTGTCGTGTCCCCCCCATTCATCCCCGCCGTGCTCCTGCGGCTTCACTTGCTGCTGGATGGGGTCAATTTTGGTGGTGGAATAGCTGCTGTTGTGGGTCTCTGCTCTCTGAAGTAGGCGTTTTTGAATTGCCATGGAGCGCATAAAAAACGGCACACAGTCACATGTACAAGCGAGCGAGCTCACATAAATGTTTGTACATATTATGCTGCCTCGACTCCGCCCACTTGGCTCTGGCCCTCTCTGCGAGCATTACCACACACACACACATAGCCAACATAGTCGCTTCCGCTGGCCATCGTCACCGTTTCCAGTCTCATTTGGCTGGCCATCACTCGGTTGGCGTTGGCCCTTTAACGGTCCGCTCCAGACTGGAAGAGCCGAGATGTGGATGTGGTCACATCCATTGTTCCATTTTCCAGTGCATAAGTCAATGCGAGATGTTTTAGCCCTGATAAGTCGCTCGATTTGTTTTGGCTCGTATATAATACTCCGCTCTCTCTGTCCTTCTTTCTCAGTAGATATACGTACGAGGATGTGTATGCGTGAGAGTATCGGTGTGTTTGTATATCTGTTTGCTCTGTGCAAAGGATTTCAGAGTGCACAGGTGCATTTACTTGCTGAGCCAGCAGAAATGGCCCCGGATACCTTACCAACCTTCTTCTGTCCTCCGTCGCCGACATCCGCATCCGTGTCTCCATCCCCATCTGCCCATCTTGGACATGAGTGTTTTTTTGTCTTTTTTTTTAATATGGACATGTTTTTTTTTGTTTTGTGCAAATGTTTTGTCTACGTTGGCCAAACAGATTTTCGTGATATAATATTGCTGTGCGATATGAGCTTCGATTCTCTTTTGTTTGTGCAACAAGTTCAGTTGTGCTAGAAGAATGAAAGGAAGGAACAGAAAGATTGGACTTTCAAAAATACGGACCAAAAAAAAAATATGACCATTTAGGCCATGATGTCATTTTAAAATTTTTGTTTTATCATTTGTATTAATATTTTAAATTGCACTAGTTACATACTTATTACAACTAAATCCTAATTTTTGTTCAAACAACAAAAACAACTTTTTTTTAGAGATTATTTTACTTAAACTTATATTATATCTTTTTTTCTTCATATAAAGGCTGATAAATGTATCCATAAATTAATTTTGAAGACTTTGTAGCTTCAACTCACCGACTGATAAACATGATTTTAAATATAAAATCATTTTTTGTATTTATTTTCCATAAAAAGCTCTGACTTCCGTTTAGAAACACAAATAAAAAATAAAAACTAAGGCACAATAATATTATAAGCTAAGACTGTATTTAACGGCGAGTGCGAGTTTGGGAAAGTCGGTCAAAAAGGCTGCAGCTGAGACTTTTATTCATTTTTAGGAATGATAACTTAAACAACTCCTTAAGGTCCATTATCACCAATGAATAATAATAGTAAAGTACAACAAAAAAACGAATCTTTTAAAGGCAAAATCTTATAAAGAAGCATACAATTTCGGTACTTATTTATTTCTCATTTTATTAGTTTTGTTCTCACGTTTCTTTCGAAAATCACGCATACGAATTTTCAATAACCGAAACTCATTTCCCCAAACGGGACAAAAGCTTGAGAACTATACTCGTATTTGGCTAACTTGTAAGCCACAAAGTGACCACAAAAAACTTTCATTTGGCTGCTGCTGTTGTAACTGGGTTATCGTTCCCCTTCGGACCATCAGCCCGCAGATTCTTATTCCCCCCCGTCACACCCATTCTAGACGCAATTGTTGTGTCGAGCAAAAATTGGGAAAGGGCGGATGGAAAAGAGGGAGCTGGAGTGGCAGTGGGTGGGCCAAGGAGGTATAAACATGCCAGCAGGAAAAACATAAAACAAAATCAAATCAAGTTTGGTGGGTGGGCAATGGAGGAAGGGAGGTAGGGTGGTGGAGTACTAGTAGTCTTCATTGAAGCTTGTCAAAATTAAATTGAACACAATCGAATTATACTCTGAATGCTCCATTTGGCTGTCTGCGCTGATTTCTGACAAAAAGGGGGCCCCATCCTGGTGCCCAAGAGGGAAAGAGACCACACACATATTTATACAAGAACGATTCGCTGATATTGATCAGAGGAGAATGAAGGAAAGAGAGAAAAGCAGCACTTGGGCATATTAAAAAGGGTTAAAGGTGTGCAAATATTTATCTGAGGCCAATTAAAAATACTTTTAATAATCAACCCAAGTCGAGTCAGTCACGAAGCAAGCCACGTGCTGCCCAAAAATGTTCTCCAATTTGAATTTCCCGCCAATATTTGCCTTTAACCATCATGCGGGAAAGTATGCTGTGATTTAGTTTCCATCTCTGCTCATTTGTAATCGATTCAACTGGATGTTGGGGCTGTGTCGTTGCCTGGAATTCAAATCCAAGTGCAAATATTTGTACGCGATTCCTTTCAATTGCATTTCAATTGTTGATGATGATGATGATGTTGCTGTGGAGTCCTCATCTCGCTAGATGATACTGATGACTCCTTCCCGCATCTCGTGATGCCTGTTCACATGAGAGTCCCGGCAACCAGGAACTGAACGCAATTGACAATGTTTATTACGGCGGATTAGGCAGCATTACTCGTACGACTTACAGAAAAAAAGGACTCCGCTCATTCTCAGTCGCTGTGATGTGATTGACTGTGCCAGGCGGCCTGGCTGTGCCTGCCACCCTGCAACATGTCTGTCCTGCCACTACACTGTGAAAAATCAACGGAAATCCTTTGAAGAGCTGAAGCAACGAATTTGAGCTCTTCGGCAAGCCTATACTATAAATACCTTGTACTATAAATATTTTATATATTTTATTTCTAGACTTTTAATCAAATTTGTACCATAAATAAAAGCATTTCCCTCAGTGTCTGGCCGATGTGGTTTCAGATCATCGCTTGGAGTGCCCTCTTTAAGCATGAAATAAAGTCGTGTTTTATCACAAATAATTTCCGGTAAATCAACAGAAAAATCGATTTGAAATACAACACCAACAAATACACAAAAAACCGTTCGCAAGCTTCTTGCCTCATTCCACCTACCTCATATCTGCATACCCTTATCAACGCCCCCTTTCGTTGCACATCTCAGCGTGAGTGCAGCTCGCTCTGGGGGTCCCTGCTAGGCAATGAAAAATGTCCTCTTCAAGGGGTCTACGCTCGGGTTTAATGACATGCAGAGGAGCAGAAGGATCGGGACCAGAACAGAACGGAACAGACCTTGATTGAAGGCTTTTCTTTGCATGCTAAATCATTCAGCTGTATGTTATATTTTTGACTTATTCTCTATTTGTTTCTCCAATTGAATTTACTATTTAATAAATGAATGTTACAGTTCTCCAGTCACTCCAAAGTTTATATGAAACCGCAACCTGAAAGCCATTCATGGATATCTTTATTTCGCTTAATCCACGCTGATTTCCTTGGGCACACATGGAGTCGTTGCCCCAGCAATTTATCTACTTGGGAGGTCGTCATACCACTCAGTCTCTTCGGTCGAGCTCGTGGTTGTTCTGTGTTCTGTGGTGTCTGTGGTAGCCAGGAGTCATAACGAGCTACCATTTATTCTGTTTACACCTTCGCCTCTGGCAGAAAGACGCACAGAGTCAACAAATTGACAGCAAATATTTCAATTATTCTGCGCTGGACTTTATTTATGAAATCCACAGGATCTAAAGGACTCACAGACCCCATCCATCCGCGGTTCGACCTCCGCTTAGACCAGTTTATGTCTGTTTACAAATCGCTGGACATAATTTATTTGCTCCCATTGTTTTGGTACGGCTTCGTGCGCCTGCCAATCGCTGAATGATAAACTGCCTTTGGTGATAAGCCACGATGCCACGGCATCAGGGGCATGCGAGGGCATCCATGGCCTCCGGGGTGTGAGCGAGGGGGTTGTTATTGTGGGACTACCCTTACCAGATCATTAGGAAGCAATTATAGGATTAGGGTTGCCAGTCACCCTCTCTCGCACACTCTTCGTACAAATTCGAAGGTCAGGTACATTTACGATCTGTCAGTTGTCAACGAATGTCAGTGTGACACTGTTGACAGCGGAGGCAACGCCCACAAATGTGTTGTCTGCATAATATGGCTAATTTCAGAATTGAAGTGCAAATTGGAAATGGCAAAAGTTCTTGAAGGGAAAATCAAACACGATTCTTATGGAATATACAACATTTTTCTTTGGTGTTTGCTACGTATCCATGAGTCCACTTATTATAAATATTGTGTGAAATATTCTTATGAATTCGATTTTCATTCGTTGGGTGGGACCTGAGGAAAATTTCTCAGTTCTTAGCGAGAGATTCTTCAATGGGAGATTCCCAAACGGGATGTCCCAAACCAAGACATT